GCTGAATAAGCTTTATGTTTTATCTTTTCTCTTTAGAAGGGAGATGGTTTGTGTCGTAGAATACATTACAGTACGTCTGCTGGATCTGTGTCTATGAAAGGAATGCGGACAAAAAACATTTAAATAAACAGCAATATATTTTATACGTCGATTTGACGACTGCGTCACCGCAAATCGCTCCGCCCACTCATTTTATTGGCTACTTGCTAATTTGTTGAATTTTTATTGATGGGACGCTTCGTCTATTTTTTTACGAAAAACATCGAGAGAATATCGTTTCCCCTCTCACGGATTCCCCGTAGCTACAGAACGGACGGACGTACTGCGGTTTATAACAATATCTTGACGATTTGAACTGACGCGCGGAGCGTGCTGACCAATAGCGCCTGTTATCACCTGTGACGTAGCGACCAACCTGCGCAATATCATACCTTGTATTCTTTGTACCATGCCATGGACGTACTGTACTATGATTGAAAAAAAAATAGCGTCAGCAATGACTATGAAATGAAGATCGCTGTCATTTTATGGAAATGTCCTCAATCGTCATTTTCCAGCGAACTGGACGCCGTTTTTTCGATCATACGGTATATATTGACAAAAAAACACCGAAAAGCACATATTTGTTTTCTACTGAAAATAATTCCAAAATAACTTGCAATCTGGCAACATCGAAGATGTGCGCATGCGTAGTGTCTGTGACTATATACAGCAAAAACTCGTTTCAAGGTCAGCCACCGGATCCACACCATTACCGTTTTAGAAAAAGAACATCACTGAACATTTTGATTATATCAATTATACGTATATTGAAGTACCGTATATATGATCGAAAAAAAACGGCGTCCAGTTGGCTTGGATATGACGATCGATCAATGACTTATGACATTTCCCAAATAATTTTACATATAAAATGACAGCGATGTTCATTTCATAGCCATCGCTGACGCTGTTTTTTTTTTCATACGGTACTACCGCATGATGAGTCTCACAATACAAATCACTGAGATAGAGGTAACATTGTACCTAGTTTTATCTTTTTCACTGTAGAAGGGATATGGTTTGTGTCGTAGAATGCATTACAGTAATTATAATATCCTGCACTTTGATATTCTTTTCTTAATTTACTATAATTTCTTTCTTGTAATGCCAATATCTTGATAATATGGTGAAGGTTCATTTTTGATCTTATTAGATTTATACACACACACATACACAGACCAAGTTAATACTTTTAGTTTGTGATTTATATTAAGATATTTCTTATAATTTTTTCTACCTACTACATATTATGCTTGGTGGTGTGGAGCAGAATAAGTATAAGCAGAATTTAAGAAGGTACCTATTAATATTGCGCTGATTCTACAGTTATAATTATGGAGGCTAAAAGGCTTTTTTAAAGCCTACGTCTACGTCGTTTTGATGGAATGTTATAAACCCTATTATGAACATGATATGGAGCAAAAACTCAAAAAAAGAAGTAACTTCGACACACCCCTTTTAATTTTACGAATTTTTAATAAAAAGCACTTTAAGGTATAGCCACGTATAGCTTAATAATCTAGAGTAATTAGATTAATTTTATAGCAATCTAAAGTTTCATTTCTATTTAATTTTATTAACTATGAAAACACATAATAAGTGTTCACGTGTTTTGCAAAATATTAAAAATAATAATACAAATAATACCGTATGATCGAAAAAAAACGGCCTCAGCGATGGCTATAAAATGAAGATCGCTATCATTTTATATGCAAATTTATATAGGAAATGCGATCGATCGTCATTTTCCAGCCAAATGGACGCCGTTTTTTCGATCATACGGTATATATTGACAAGAAACACTGAAAAACACATTATTTGTTTTTTATTGAAAATAATTCCAAAATAATCGGCAATCTGACAACATCGACGATGTGCGCATGCGAAGTAGCTGTGACTATATGCAGCAAAAACTCGTTTCAAGGTCAGCCACCGGATCCACACCTATACCCTTTACCGGATCATCATATTATTAGAGGTGGGCCAGTCTGCGATTTTTGTGGAGCTGCTACGCTCTGCGACTGCTCCAATAAAAGCACTGTGACAAGTAGCAGCGATTTTTCGGAGCAATTAACCTATAAATTAAAAATGTAGTTTTATAGGTTAATTGCTCCGAAAAATCGCACTCGGTGTTCGGCACCGTTCGTTGCATTTACTAAAAAGTACAGGACTATAGGTGTGATTATGATAGGCAACATCATCGTCTAGTTTTTATTTATTTATATCGTATGATCGAAAAAACGGCGTCAGCGATAGCTATGAAATGAAGATTGCTGGCATTTTATATGTAAAATTTATGGGGAATGTTATCGATTGTCATTTCCAAGCCAACTGGACGCCGTTTTTATTTCGATCAGTAGTGGCGATTTTAACGTCTGTGCAATCGGGGGTAAGTCACCGACGGGCCCCAAGCCTCCCGGGCCCTTGCGAACAAGATTCGAACTTTTCCGAACTACGGGCCCCTAGAGCTCTTAAAATCGCGGCTGTACGGTACTATACTGATGTCTTAGTTTGATAGATGTTGCTATATTTGTTTAGTCTATTCAGAAGAATTTGAGTGTTTCTAAGTACCAAACACTTTGCTATAAATATCTTAAAGAGTCTGTTCATTTTCACAGAGTGGTGGCCCATGGTAAAAACTTAATGTTATATTCAATTCAAAGTCGAAACTGTCAAAAAATCTTTATTAGTGACCGGTTTCGGCTATTTAGCCATCATCAGACCTTAAAAATAGATATAAATAATAAAACTTATATGAATGTATAAGATCAAATAAAAGATTTAGGATATACAACAAAACACAGATACAAAATTAACTAACAAATAAACATACTAACAAGTTAAAAATTACCTTTGTCAAAAACATCTGTTCGTGATTAATATATAATACATAAATATCATAGATAAACGAAACAAGTTTAGATTGGAAAGTGCCCATAAGGACAATGTAAACACTATTTGGCGCTATTCTTGCAACGGTCGCGACCCAAAACTTTTGAAAATTTCGGAGCGGTTCGGCTTTTTCCGGAATTATATCGCCAAATATTGTTTATTCAAATTTATTATTATTTTCGTTTAATTTTATAAATTAAAGACAGTGTGTTGCATACAAGAAACTTTATTTTATATAACTTATATTATATTTTATATAACTTATTATATATTAGAAACCGACCTTATGCCACGATCCACGATGGTTTTTGCAGTTCACAGTTCACAGCACAGCTTTTTAAGTTTTTAATGCCACTTTTTCACAATTATCACCGGTTGGAGTAAATAAAACTTGAATTAAACTAACAAGATAGCAATTAATACTTTGAAAATGGACGCTATAAACACTTTTCAGAATTTCTTTAATGAGAGCGGTTTAGATTTTGAAAGATTATTATGATTTTTGAAGTTTCTGACTTTGACAAGAGAAAATTATTTCTGTTTTTGTTTGCCGTTGATCTTAGCGACCGCTATAGCAGCGCCAGATCGCGTATAACGGTCGCGACCCAAAATAATTTCGCGACCTAAAATTTTTACGGGCTTTCCCATCTAAACTTGTTGCATTTATCTATGATAAATATCTTATTTAGATTCATGAAAGAAAAAGCGAACGCTGCTACGTTTCCCGAGGAATACATTAAAATACGCAACCAACCGTCCAATCAGATGAAAGAGGTACGTACCCTATCGTTGGGTATTGTGCAATCACGTGATGCTCATGTCGTATGACGGTTAAATCTTTGGTTAGAATTTTTGTTGTTGTTTTTACCTGTTTTTACAGTTTTTACTTTATTTTTCTATTTACATCAGATTTATATTTTGTAATTGCCTATCAGACAATACGTATTTAGAAAAATAATAAGAATTAGGATCGTGTTTTTTTTAAATCCTGGATATTAATTGGAACCCTTGATAACATTACTGCTTTTGATATAAAAAGTGCATTTTTGATTATTTACTTGGGCTAGGATATTAAAATATCGGTTGGATTGTACGACATAAATAGATGTAGGTATGATTATTTATATATATGTATGTATTTATAAAGCTTACTATCTGTTTTGCATTTTCAGTTTTTGATCAGACATTTTATTTTATTTGTGAAATGCCCACAAAAAAGCTTCCAATGATTCAACATCAGTGTGTTTGCTGCATAATGGATCATTCCTGCTGAATTTTTAGATCATTTGAAGACTACACGGAAAAAACCAGATAATATGTTACATTTTCATAGAAATTGATAGCGAGACAATTTTATAGGCAAGTGTTAGCATTATTTGAGGCACTATCAAAGAAAGCAATAATAATATGCTTAGTCCCAGAGATATTACAGCTTAGTTATTTTGCCCTACAGGAGAAAAACCAGAGTAGTTCACTCGTAATTGCATTTTCTTGGCTCCAGTTAAAATGAACAAAGCTGGTTTTTCCTGTGGTCTTCATTTGAAATAACGTAAATAAATGTTTATACATATGTATGTGATGATTAAATTGGTGTTAAGGAAATAAAAATGTTTTTCGATATTAATATATACCTATATATGTATATTTATTTTGAAATAAATTACACTTTTAACAGTTTAATGGAGTTTTTAAAGCCAGTTATAATATTTATATTTTAAAAACTTGAAATCATGTGGATGTAATCACGCATTAAACTACAGACTAACTTATATGTTAACTTTATATAACTTGTAAGTAAAATAATAAATAAAACAAATATGAAAAAACCAACAATTCTAATGTATATATTAAAATACAGTACAATAATAGGTATCTGATACCCTCACTTAACGTAGAATAATATTCTACCCAACTCAATACTATGTCCAACATGAGTTTCAAATATATCGGGCCCCTAATCGTTCCTGAAAATAATATTTTTTACATTGTTATACCATATTCTAAACTATTTAATATTTCAGTCACTTAAAAGTTAATTTGTATTGAATAATTGTCTACCATTAAAACAAATTTGGACTAGTATTTTTAATGGGCATATTCTGTGTATGGATATAGGTACTTCCTCCAGATTTTGGGTTCAACCAATTTATTCTTAAAACCTGAAACATCTACGTATAAAAAATAGACAGGTTACTAATTATAATAAAATTTACCCTTAGAATTATACTTCTTTAACAAATAATTTCCATTGGTATACTTTTCCATGACAAGTAATCAACTTCCTAACATTTTTTAATTGATGTAATACTTCCTCATGATGCGAAAAGAAAATCTTTTCTTTAGCACACAAAGGACAAACGATATGTTGGCTTACTTTCAGATTAGTTACTTTTCCATAGATATCCTCATGTCAATTCAAAGACGATGAACATGAAAATGATCATCACATGAAACATCACAAACTAAAAACCTAATAAACAAGTTTATATCGAATATAGAAATAAATTTAGTGTTCTTACCTATTGTCGTCCAAATCCACGTTAATAGATAATTAATTTTTAGATTTTTATCTTTTATTTTTTAAATATATCTTTCGAACTACTGGTTTTAGTAATTATTAAATTAAACGAACTAAAAAGTCAAAAATATTAAACAATTAATTCTCTTGTCAATTGTCAATTTTCTCCAGGCACCGAACATTATCGATAACGCACGATCTACGACGATTACTCCTTTGATCTGATTGGACGGTTCAATGACGGTTGGTTGCGTATTTTAATGTATCCTCGTTTCCCGTTCCCAAACTCCCAACAGCTCCAGTACACAGAATATACTCAATATACTATGCTCCAGTCGACTGCGACCTGCGACGACTGTGACTGGAACAGTCTGACCGGGCGACGGGGCTGGGCTAGGAGCATTTTCAGAATTTACACTATTGCCTGCTATTGCTCCTATTGCTACTCACGAGCAGCGTTGTTACAAGGGCAAAAATTTTTGTACTATAAATGGTGTCGAAATTGTACTTTTTTAAGTGGGATTGTACATTTTTGGTGCAAAAATGTGGGGTCATGTGATCTCTCTATTTACCTTTTTACCAAGTTTTGGTACGTAGGGTGCATCCACACTATCCTAAAAACAGCGGAACGGCGTACTGGCTTAACGACCTTGAATCGATTTCCTGCAATTCTATTGGCTGAAATTTTTGCCAGGTGAATTTGACAGATAAAATTTCTGACAGATGAATTTTTCAGCCAATAGAATTGCTGGAAATCGATTCAAGGTCGTTACGCCGATACACCGCCACCGATCCGCTTTTTTTAGGATAATGTGGATGCACCCTCACAGAATTATACACCATATGCTGTCCTCCTTTCACGCAGTTGAGCAGCTCTGAACTGTTCAAGAACGCGATACTCTCCCTCCATTCAATTGAGTCATAAAGTTCAGAACTGGTTCCGCGCCATATGGAGGCACCAGGCTATCTCGCACAGCTCCTTTCAGAACCGTTCTGAGCAGCTCAGGGCGTAAAGCTCTGGAACTTGAAATTCGCAAATGGAGGACAGCAATACAGAAGCTACAAAGAGCTTTGAATAGCACTGGTTAAATGGGAACTAATTGCGTGACGTCACGTTTGACATCGGGACACAATAGACTATGGAGTCTAAAAGGAGGAGGCGAATCGAACGCAAAAATTATGGGCCCAGTTTTTGAGATCTAAATGAAGTTCGAAAATCGCCGTTAGGGGCGCTTGTGATGATTGGGATACTAGAAATACACAGCTTCTTATGGCAAGAATAACTATTTTGTTATAAATTATAGAGCCAAGTTAATATTTGGGCATATTTTTACCAGAGTTAGCTTTTAGAAACGTGGTTTTTCTAATTGAGCAATGTGCGTGGCTAAAATTGTGAATACAAAACCTTAAATTTGAGTTTGAAAAGTTAGTTAGGTTATATTAGATGCCGGTTTAATATATCCTTTTCCTAAGTTGATATTATAAAAATGTTTTATTATGTGGTTCTTTTTAGTGCATACACGACCGAAGAAACATATAAGCTGCTAAAATAAATCTTCCCTAGAACTGTTGTACAAAAAAGATAGAAGTTCCAGCAACAAATTTATCACCAGTTCAACCTTTGATTTGATGTAAACAGTAATTGTTTCTTGATGAGAAATGCGAATGAAATAGTTTATGGTGTGATTGTGTTAGTGTTTTATTAATAGTTTTGTTGATGCAGTTTAAAGGTTCATAGTTTTTCATTAAAACATTTGAAATTGACATGTTTACATGCAGTTTAGTGTGATACCATTTTAATAAACATTAAAATCTTTCGAACTAGTAGTGGTTTTATGGCGATTGACAGATTGAATAACGAAAATTAAGAGTATTTTATCAGGAATAACTTAATCATAAATGGAAACTGAAGACGAACGTTACCATTGCACCCTTTGATCGGTGTTATCTATTCCATAACTTTTTATAGCTGAAACTAGAGAGTAGGTATATTGAGCTGAAACGTTTCCTGTGTTCAATAGCGTTTTTTCTAGCGTTGAATTGTAAGTTTTAATGTCATTAGCAAAGTTTTGCAAATTGTCACTGTTTCGTAGACAATTAAATTCAAGATATATTATATTCAATGTCACCTAATAATTGTAAAGGTTTTTCTATTGATATTCACTTTATTAATATAAGGTAGGTTTGTAAATAAAATATTAATGAATAAATAATGTACTCAGTTTATTTCAAAAGCACAAAAATACAGAGTTGTGAATATGTATATACGCTGACTTATTTCATCATATAAATATTTATTTAGCAATATTAATACATTACAACTTTTGTTTCTATTAACTAATTCCACTAAATTTAATAAATAAAATATACAATATATAAATTTAATATACAATTTAGCACTTAGATATTAAATATCTATATGTACTATGCCAAAAAATAAAACAGGAACATCATATTATATCAAGAACACAAAAAATTACAATTTAAAAAAAATGCATTCTAAAAAAATACCTAGCTACAATATACCTACATATTAATTTAAAGAGCTTATTCATATTCATAAAAACTATTCTAAATGGTTTATATACACAATCAAAAGTATCAACCACAATACAATAATTTTCAAATTATTTCTTATTATTCCTCAATGAAAAAGCGTCTTGCGACGGCTAGTCAAAAATCTAAATAATTTTTATAATAAATTTACAATCTGACATATGCAAACTATTTTTCAAATTTGTGAACATAGTAACTCTACTGTCTGTAACATCAACTGGCACATTAGTAATATCACGAAAGAATTTCATTCTCATTCTCAAAGTTAGGTTCTGAAGTTTGATTTTCAACATGATTAATAGGCAGACCTTTTACTTTTTTTGAATTAGAAACTTTTTCAGTTGCTTCACTCCTTACACATGGTGGTTTCCTCTTTCTTTTATTACTAGAGAAATATGAAGGCAGGTTAGGAAAAATTCTTGGAATTGAACCCTCCTTTAATAATGGTCTACCCGCTCAATTCTACTGATAGTTCCGTCAGTTAATTTGATCTCATAATGAGTCAAAATATCTTCATCTAGAAAATGTAGTTCACAAACAGCATCTTTGCTGCTAAGTGTCTTGTCTGATCTGGGTATCGCCTTTTGCCACTGCTGTAGCAAGCTAGGATCCTAATAAAAGATATATAATTGTTAAATAAAATAAAAAAAAATTTTTCACTATTAAAGCTGTTATTTTGAGAATACGATCTTGAAGTATAAATATTTAATATTCACTTTCAATAGCACTGTTCAAACTGTGGTTAATATAGGTACATGTCAACAGGTAATTTTAGCACCTAGTAAGTATTAAATTATTTTAATTTTATAACAAGGCCTCCTAGGTTATGTTATACACATGTTGATTTTAGGCTATATTTCCTATTAATTTGGTTTATAATTTAATCTGTACACTGACAGTATATAATTTTAATGTTTTTCTTAACATCTATCCATAATTTTTATAAATAAATAGTCATACTACTTACATTAGGAGCTTTGAAAAGGCTTGGGTTTCTTTCACCCCGTTCTTTATTTGCCTTGTTTTTATTGGGATTCCCACTTGTACAGCCAGGTACAAAGCAATTTCTACCACGACTCATTGTTGTACTGCTAAAAATTCAGTAAATTAACTATAAATTTTATTAAAAACACAATTAAATCGTATACTACAATGAAAATGTAGTATCCCAGTCGATCGCAGTGCCTCTGCTGTCAAACCGAGGAAGCTGCTTAAAAGTGGGGACAGAAATTTCAAATTTGCCCATTGCCGATAAATCTCCTTTTTTAAGCCCTCCATACAATAGACCTCTAAGGTCGCAGTGATTAGCCCCCCTCCTACTCACCGCATGGATATCAAACTTACGTTTGACATCCGTGCGGCTTGAACAGCATTTCAAGTGATGTATAATTCTGGGCCTCTGCTCCTAGCAACCTGCATTTCAAATCCACGCATCGCGTATCACCGTTCGTCTAAAAATATGTACGTGGGTTTAAGTTTGGGTTAGTTTGGGTTTGAGAGGTAAGAATTGTACATTTTTTCTTGCAATTGTACCTATGTACTCCTTGACTATCAAATGTACCCAAAATAGTACAATTGTACCTATTGTAACAACACTGCTCACGAGCGCAGATGTCCTAAACTTGTAAACTGCTCCGAAATGTCACTGCGATTTTCTTGGAACTGGAGCAGTCACATACTGCGACGTTGGTGGAGCTGTGACAAAGTAGCGGACTGCGATTTCACAACCCACCTCTACATATTATACATATTATACCACGACCACCACGGCATATACTACTGTGTACTTTTATAATTTGAATCGTATCGTTATCTACTTGTTATCTATTATCTATTCTAAGATCTATTCTATGGTTTCATCCATAGAATAAGTATAAGTTTAATAAAAATTCTGTAATTCAGAATTACCATCTGATTTTATTCCATATTCCATTACAGTTTTTGTCCATTCTACTAATTTGATAACTTTTCCAGAGAATGTCCAGAAATTTATCATTAATTCTTTTTCGTGATTAAGTCCAGAAAGATATTAACAAAAGCAGAAAAACTGAATTGATTTATTATTGTTCAACTGTCATGATATTTTTAAATTGTTATTAGTTTGACGTCTAATTGACACTTGCAATTAAATTGTACAAATAATAGGAAACTTATCCAACAAAAATGGTAAGTAACAATCAAGTTTTTAACTGGTAAGGTGCAAAACATTGTGTTTATTATGGGTTCTGCTGCGGTACCAGATATCTGGAAAATTGAGTTTGCATCGTTTTTCGCAGATTTTTTGGTAAACGTATAAAATTGATATAATTTTGTTAATAAATAAATGTTTGCCCTTAATAAATAATTAAAATTACTTATTATATCTCTAGCCAAATACTCCACCTCAGATATCACCTGTTGAAGACCAAGAAAGGTATCTTCATGAAGCTCTAGGGAAAGTAAAAGCACAAGCTTTTCATATGAAAAGAGCTTTAGATAAAAATAAACTTATGGATGCTCTTAAAGATGCCAGTTTAATGCTTGTAGAGTTACGCACATCATTATTATCACCTAAAAGCTACTATGAATTATGTCAGTAATATCTCTGGTAATATGTTGTGTCGATATATTTAAAGCTTACTTATTTTTTTAGATATGGCTATCACAAATGAGTTAAGGCATTTAGAATTATATTTAGTAGATGAATTTGAAAAGGGTCGAAAAGTACAAGATTTATATGAATTAGTACAGTATGCTGGCAATATTGTTCCCAGACTTTATCTATTGATAACTGTTGGTTTGGTGTATATAAAAACTAATACCTCCCTAAGAAGAGATTTGTTGAAAGATTTAGTGGAAATGTGCAGAGGTACAAAATATATAAATTAAGAAGAATTTTAGTATTAAAAATTCATTTTTACAGGTGTTCAACATCCTCTCAGAGGGCTATTTTTACGTAATTATCTTCTACAGTGTACCAGGAATATATTACCTGATGCTCCTGATATTGATACAGATTCTCCTGAAGGAACAGTTAAAGATTCTGTTGATTTTGTGCTTATGAATTTTGCAGAAATGAATAAGCTTTGGGTAAATATATTATGATTTATTAACTATAGGACTAATTGTTTATTAAAATAAATCAGGTGAGAATGCAACATCAAGGACATTCTCGAGAAAGACAACATAGAGAAAGAGAAAGGGAAGAGTTAAGAATTTTAGTTGGTACCAATCTAGTTAGATTAAGTCAACTTGAATCTGTTACTTTGGAAAAATATCAGAAATTGGTGTTGCCAGGAATTTTGGAACAGGTAATTAACTTTTTTTCTTAAAAATAATTTTTTAAAATAATAGTTTTGCTGTGCAATGATGTTGATGGACTTGTTTTTAGGTTGTCAGTTGTCGAGATGCAATAGCTCAAGAATATTTAATGGAATGTATTATTCAAGTTTTTCCAGATGAATTTCATATTCAGACTTTAAATCCATTTTTAAAATCCTGTGCCGAATTGGATCAAGGTGTCAATGTGAAAAATATTGTTATTAGTCTTATGGAGAGATTAGCTGCTTTTAGTCAAAGGGCAGATAATCTTGATAGTGAAGGTAATAACATGGATTTGTCATAAATTTTATTAAAAAATGTTTATAAATAAATTTTATTTGTAAGAAATTGTAAAGGTTTATCTTCTTTTTTTAAATCTGAACATGCCCATTAATGTGTAGTTCTATATCAATATTTGACATCCATATAGGGCCTTTAGTTAATATTCTGTGATTATATCCAAACTTGGGATGACCTAAATAAATATTTATTGTCTTTAGGTATTTATTGAAATTGAAGAACTATTTCTTACTTTAGTATTTATTTAAGATGTACATGTTAAAGTGCTTTAATGGAGAGTGTTGCACAATAAATAAAGAAGACATTGTCTATAAGAAATTGATTAAGAATATAGAAAATGTTATACTTTTAGGTGGAAATATATTAAAAGAAGTTGAACTCTTTGAAGTATTTTCTGAACAAGTTTCTTCAATCATCGCAAATAGGCAGTATTTACCACCTGAAGATATGGTTGCATTACAAGTGGCTTTAATAAACTTAGCATTAAAGTGTTATCCTGATCGAATTGATTATATTGATAAAGTTATGTTATCCAGTGTGGAAGTAAGCATAATCCCTTTTGCAGATTTTTAACAAATTAATTTAATCCTATTTATTTTCTATGTAATAGATGTTTCAACGTCTAGGCTTAGAGCATCTTGAGTATCACTCATCTGTAGCTAAGGAATTACAAAAATTATTGAAAATACCTTTGGACACTTACAATGATATTCTAGTAGTACTTAAATTGAAACATTATGCAGGTAATGGTCTTTTGCATTGTCTACATTTTAGTGTTTTTACTGAGTTGTGAATAATTAATACATCTTATAGGTCTTATGCAGCATTTAGATTACAATGGCAGAAAGTCATTAAGTATTTACATTCTAAATAATGCTTTGGAAAATGAAATTATAATTCCATCACCAGATGAAACGGAGCAGGCATTAACTTTGCTGAATACTTTGGTAGCTGAGAAAAGTGAAAATCCTGTTGGAGAAATAGATATGGAAGAATTAGCCGAAGAACAATGTTTATTAGCTAGATTTGTTCATCAGCTTCAATCGAATGTGCCTGATGAACAATATACAATTTTAACAATGGCCAAAAAAGTAAGTAAAGTCAGTCCAAGGATTTGGGGAAGATTTTGACTGATGACATTTAAAAATCGACAGAAAAATTTGTCTGTGAATTAAAATGACAGACAACTGTCACTGTCACCCTCGTTCATTATTACAGTAAAACTGAATCAGCCAAACCGCGTTAGTGAAACTTGGTGTGTGGCCCCACATGAGACGTACGACCTAGCGCAGCGTAGAGCGGAGAGGACCGCGAAGCGTTTAAATGCATTGAAGGAAATGGAAGTTGCACCACATATAGGCGGATTGAGGCGTATTTTTTCTATTGTCCGCTCTGCTCCGCTCTACGCGTGCAGCTATGTTGGGCCAGAACTATGGGCCAGAACAACAGGAAGCATCAGCTGATCAGCTCCTTTTTTATACTGTGTGCCAATGGTTTTGACCCTGTAGCCACATTTTGACAATTAACCCATTTGTACACTGAAAAAAAAAATACGCTGAGAAAAAGTATTTTTTTATAATAAGCAGTTTTAAGATTAAAAATCTTAAGACTGCAACTAATCAAAATTTGACAACTGACATTAAAATAATCGCCAAAAAATATGACAAAAACACCTTCCTTAAAATTTGATTCATGAAAAAATCTCCAATGCCGCTTCTGAATGGTTAGGTAATTCTGTGATGTAACCAATTAACTTCTATTTGAAAATTTGGCTTATGTTTTTTTGTTCTAAAATTCCATGTTGTCCCAGATTTTAGTGACTGGAGGACCTTTGAGAACAAAATACACACTACCGCCTCTTATATTTCAAGCTTATCAACTAGCCTACAAATACAAGAATCTCAGAGAAGAAAAATGGGATAAGAAATGTACAAAGATATTTCAATTTTGCCATCAAACCATCACAGCTTTAGTGAAAGCTGAACTTGCGGAATTACCTCTAAGGTTATTTTTACAGGGAGCTTTGGCTATAGACCAAATTGGTAAAGATTTGATAGCTGGTTAAAAAAAAATATTTTATTTAAAAAAATTTCAGGTTTTGATAACCACGAAACTGTCGCATACGAGTTTATGTCACAGGCTTTTTCTTTATATGAAGATGAAATTTCAGACTCAAAAGCTCAATTGGCCGCAATAACTTTGATTGTTGGTACCCTTGAACAAATCAGTTGCTTTTCAGAAGAAAATTCTGATCCTTTAAGGACACAATGTGCACTTGGTAATATTTGTCTCACTGCAATTGATTAATTGCATAATTAATAATGGAAATGTATTTTTATTTTAGCTGCTAGTAAATTGTTGAAGAAGCCAGATCAATGCAGGGGTGTAGCCACTTGTAGCCATCTATTTTGGAGTGGAAAAAGTTTAGCTAGTAACAAAGAAGAAACCCACGATGCAAAGAGGTATATTGAATTTTATTTTACAGCTTATTCGAATTGGGTGATTTACTATAGTTTTAAATTTATTGATTTTAATTGAAAAATTCAATACAATAAGATATATTTCAAATGAAAAAACATGTACATCGAGTGAACAATTTAGGAATAAACAGTAAATTAAATGGACCACGTAAATGATGACGTCACGTCGGCCATGTTTATTCAATATCTGTCAAAATTTAGTTGCCGCCGTTAGTTTAGTAGCCGCTGGGCCGCGACGCCTTCAAGCCGCTTTGTCTATTTTATCTTTGGAATAAAAATATTAAGGCAGGAGTATAGTGCTATCCATGTATACGTCGTACAAAATAAAAACCGTTGCATGTTATCGAGCACGTGCGTTGATTGTAGACAGCATTGTTGCCAGATTGTAATCGGAAGAGAAATATTTTTGAAAAATTTACTATATCTATTAAAAAGATTATATGAAAAAAAGATCTATTAAAATTCTAAAATAAACTTTAAATTGTTAACAGTTTTAAATAGTTTCAAGCAGCGCTGAAAAAAAATATTTTTAAACAAAACATGTTTTTTTATTGTTTAAAACAAATTTTTATGGTTTTAAAAAATACAAAGACGAAAATATGTTTACAACACTTTTATACTCTGTTTGAAACCATATCATGTTGAATAATGATAAAGCCAAAGGACAAAACTTAATTCGATTTTAGAAACCTTAATGGTGCTCCTCCAAGTAGTAGTACAGAATTAATAGTTTATTTAGACAATATTAAGTTGAGCTAATTACTCTGTTTTTTATTCCTTTTGTATTATAGTTGTTTTTTTATTTTGAAAGAGTTTCTCATTTTTTATTGAAATAAACACCTACACACCAAACCTATTTAATACTCTGTTTTAAACAAATATTTAAAACAAGTAATGGTGTCTTAAAAACATTGTTTTAAACATTTTGTTTAATTAATAACAGTCTGGGTTTCGGACAATTCAAAATATTATCTATTATAAAGAGTGGTAAATGATTATAAAATATATAGGCAACTTTTTGAAATATTCCAAGAATCAATAAGTATTTTCCATAGAAGATTAGTAGGTTTTGCTTCTCAAAATAAAAAAAACTCGCTTCACTGGTCTACTTTAAAATACTTTATTATAATATAACGGGCCGTTATTGTCCCTTTCTTTCTCAAAATATATTATCAGAGATGACACTAATTCTTGGCACCGACTATTTAACTGCTTAGGCATTTTTCAAAGAAAAAACTAACTACTACTACACAAAATATTCTGAAAACAACAGTTTTCGATCGATAGATAAAGGTTTTAAAAGATTCAATACACACGAGACACAACTCTCAACTAACGTTCAGAAAATTCTAGCAAATGTCAAATAAACGTGGCACCGCTGCAACCGCTTCCTCGCCGTTGCCAACACAATATCGAGTGGGAGATTTAAAACTCATTGAAAACGTCCCATAAGGGCCATATTTGTGTAGTGGTAGCACTGCACACGGCTAATAAATGCCTAATCGATAGCTCGCAACGGTTTTTATTTTGTACGACGTATATATTCATATTATGTTAGACAGAGACCACACTTGACAGTTCTATTTGACGTTTCAATTGAGACATTTGAACTTGATTTTAAATTTTGTAGATTTGTTAGCTTTTTGTGTGCTTTACTGACTTTATTTTATATTTTTATTCTACAATAAGTTTTGTTTAGAGGTAGTAAATCTAGAAGGATTTTTTTGTGTGAGAACTTAAATTAACAGCATAACTATTGCGATTTACTGAAAAAAAACGTAAAATGGTGGTGCAGAGTGCGGTAGATCTCGGCAAAAATTGAGAGAATTAATGGAATAACTTTTCACTGGTAAATGATTATACCGGGTGCGTCTCAAAAGTGGCTCACCTCTATAACTTTTTATTTTTTCAGACAAAAAAACGAGATTTGGTACCTATGTTAGTATATGACATAAATTAGGATTGATTGACGTATTCAATTCTTTTCGGTCGCTTCCTGTTTAACCGGGAATTACTACAACTTTTGATTTTGAAATGACACCCTTGGTATTTTTTACTTAATTCGATAGGAAATGACACTCTGAATAGAATGACATATCATATGTCAACTTTATGCGCACTGGTATATCAGTGGTGCATCTATTGATTGAGTCTGGAAGGGGTAGAAGCAATATTAAGTAAAGTTCTAGATTTAAATTAAAGTTTCCATGGAAGTTATTGTCAATCTGGAAGAGAATAAACTTGATTTGGCCTGGATTTTCTATTTTAATAGGTTTTGTTAATTTATTTGTGACAATTTTATTTTATGCCACATTTTATCATATTTATAAAGTATTTCCTGGGATCCGGGAGGGGTAATTACCCCCATTACCCTTCCTGTATATGCGCCTCTGCGGTATATAGTCCTTGGTCTGAACAGCCTTTACATTCTTCCTTTAAGTTGTGAGTAAGAAATACATGAGATTTGAAAGCCTAGAAATACATGACGACAGCTTCTCAACCTCTAGAATAGCCTATTATGCCCTTTTTGAGTCACATCTTCGTTATGCCCTTCCAATCTGGGGTACTTGCTGCGCAACAAAATTTGATCATGTTTTCAGACTTCAAAAGAGAGCAGTTCGATATTTATTGGGACTGAACAGTAGAACTCACTGCCAGAATTTCTTTAAAAATTTGAAAATACTGACTCTTCCTTCTTTATTCATTTTTGAATCTGTTTGCTTAATCCGCAAGCACATATCTGCTATTCCCGAAAGGCCATCTCATAACTATCCACTTAGGAATGCAGAGCACGATCTTTATCTGCCAACCCCGAGCTCAGAACTAGTTAAAGGGTCAATACTGTACAATGCCAAAAAAATGTACAATCATCTGCCTTTGAATATCAAATCGCTTTCATTCTTTCCCGCATTTTGCAAAGCTCTTAAATCATACCTACTGGAGAGAGCCCTATATGCGGTAAACGACTTTTTTGTTGATGTTTAATTATGAACAATTTTGAATTTTAAAATTTTGATCATCTCACACACTGGTCAAAGGTCAAGTATTTAATATTTTATAACTTTAAAATTATATCTATTTACTGCGTACTGTTCTAAAATTGTCCATGTATATTCTTTTTGTAATTTTAAAGATTTAACTTTTTTTGAATTGTATTATTTGTATTGTGTATTTTTTGTTGTTTGTATATTTTTTTTGTGATTTTGTTGTTTGTGAGTGCTTTATCGATGAAGCTGTTTTGGCTTTTTGCACAATAAAGCGTTGTTTGTTTTGTTTTGTTTGTATAGAGAAGGTTTCGATTGTTCTCGTATGTACTACTCCATTCCAGTAGAACTCGATACTTCTCGAATCTTCGAATGAATTATTACGGTGTCTATGCGATGTTAAGGCCATCCGAGGGCGCAACACTGCCCCCTTCTTAGGTACATGCTCGTCCCGAGATGTACACGGGGAATGAAGGTATTTGCAAAGCTGGCCCCTGGTACATTGCGAAGTCTGGTAGAAATAGCAGTCTACAGTTTTCTCTCCCGATCTCAGCTTTGGGTTGTAGCAGCAAACAAGGATCTCGATTCCCGTAAATCTAAACAAGACTTCAATCATGTTCCGGATTGTACGCCAACTCAAACCATCGAGTCCACACGCCAGCTTCGGAATGGCTAATCGTGTAATGTTGTTTAGCAAGGCTTCTCTGAGTTCAATCAGGGTCTTCCATAGATTGAGATAAGTCGGCTTACTTGGGGACCATTCCTTGGTGACTAGGTAGAAAATGTGCCTTGCTTGACCAAGTTCATTGTCGGTTAGCCTCCAGACGCTTCCAACCTCTGGATCCTGTCGGCGTAGTTCTCCGACACGCCCAAACTTCTCATTGAACGTCGCAGCGATTCCTCTGGACATCCGCAAATCTCGGGCCACACAGTGAGCGAGCGAATAATCAGGAGGCACGGAAAAGAGGTCTCGTTGTTCTTCTTTGGTTACACCATAGCGAGCCTTCTGACTGATGTTGTATCGGGCCATGAAATCATAAAGGACATCTCCGAATCAGGGGGATCAAAGCTGCAGGTTCTCATGGTCCCAGCACGATCTTTTATTTCGCCTTGGTAGGGGCTCAAACGGTTGAAATGGACTATAATAAATAATAATAATAAATAATGTTTATTGTGCAAATGTAAAAAAATTACAAACATATAACAAATTGAAGGCAATAATTAATCTACATTCCACAAAAAGGTTGGAGATTTGGTGTTACCCATTCTTCCACTCCACCTTATGAAAATTAATAAAAGAAACATGTTTTCTAGACTTAACCTAAATATTACATTAAAAAAAAATAAACTAAAACTAAGATTCTAAACCTAAGGTATTAATTGAAATATGGTGACATTCCAATTTTAGATCGTACATTACTTTTAGACTGTGTCATAGGCAAACTCAAGTCATCTATAAATTTATTTAATAAGGTAGAAGCCATATAGGAAAAACAATTCTTATATTTTGATGTAGTGTCCTGAGGGACTGTAAAAGAATTAACTCTGATGTTGACACTATGAATTTGAGATCTGTTAATAATTAATTTTATTAAGTAAATGGGGATTTTATTTTTAAATATTTTATATAATAACATCACATACAAATATTCCAATCTTTCGCGCATTTCTGGTTCCTTTAAACGTTTTAGGTGAGGACTAATATGATCTCGATAAGATAAATTGCACACAAATCTCATACCGGCGCACGGTGGAAAGACCCAATATAAAATGTTGGACATTGACTTAAAAATAAAATTTTAAATTAAATAATTTTGGTAGAAGATTTTAATTACTTGAAGTCCAGACCGTTATATTTTATCCAACTCAAAAAAATATTTTTAATTATATGTCTGAAAAGTTTCAAATGAAGATATTACACTGACTTAATTATGGTGTTCATTTCTTGTGAAACAACCTAGTTTTATAAAAAGTGGCAAAGACATTAATACTTTTTTT